GCTTCTCAAAATTTTTCCGGGTCCCCGACCCCTAAAATCTGGAAAAAGGGGGCGTGGCGTCAGCCACGCCTCCGAAAAAAATTTTTTTATAAGGCTAAAATGAATTTTTAAAAAATTTTAAAAATTATTTTAATTATTTACAAGTAAAAACAAGTCACTTGCACATTTTTATAACCCATGTAAGTAACTTTCAAAAATTTCGCGACCCGTTCTCGGGGGGGGCGCGCGCCCCCCCCCCGCCCCCCCCCTCGGTACGCCACTGTTATATATATATATGCATTCATATTCATATTCCATATTCTGCAGTCAAATAAAGTCAAGGTAGAGTACAAACCACAAGGAATTGTTGATAATTGATTGCAAGTTTTTCAAGAACTTCTTTCTCGTAATATGAAGCACTCAAATTTTGCAAATATATAGAGTATAACCTAAGCTACATGCGCAGCAGCTAATAGGCCAAATTATGACGTCGCAGTGGGGATTATGGTAGGTGTATAGTATGACTATGAATCATTACAAATATACATGAAACTTGGTATAGTTTTAGGATTCGGACCCCCTAGGCCTAAGCAGGGAAGGATACCTGGTGACCCCGGCCATTCGTAGTTATTTGTAAATCGAAAAATGCGCCTTTTAATGCTGGTTCGAATTCTGTTTTCTATATCTGCGAAACGAAAACCTAGACGGAGTTATAATCATTTTTTCAAGAATGAATTGCGCGCGGAGGGTGAAAATCATTAATAATACTTTTTCTTTCCTTTTCAAATGCTGATTATGATTTAGATAGATATAAATACAACGTTACACCTTTACACCTTTCAAGTTTCCCATCAATAGCTTCAAATGATAAAATATTAGGTCGTTCCGAAAGTAATGTCGCTTTTTTCAAACGTATGCCACATCTCGTGGAACAAAGGTGTGTAGAAGATTCTGGTAGAATTTGATGCAGCACTTCATTCTCTTTCTAACGGTTATGAAGTTGTTGCAATACGGTCAATGAGCTTCCAGAAAAAAGTCAAAATCTGCGACCTATGCTATTTGAGATGGCCAAGTTTCACAATTTTTCTAAAATTTTATAACGAACCTCAAAAGAAGTCCAAGTGATGGATGGATAGAGCAAACCCTACAGGAAACAGCACAACTTTTTTCTACTTTCCAGAGCTCGTCATAATTTTTGTACAGATTTTTTGATGGAAGCACCGAATTTTAGCAGGCTCATCTCAGACAAAAGTGCATCAAACGCCAGCAAGTCTCCGGATTTTGAAAGTTACAAAGGTGGATTATGGTTTGGCAACAATTTTACAAACCAAACGAGCATTCACCGCTTCGGTTTAGCAACTTTCGAAAATTCCGGGTACCTTGGGGTGCCCTGGAAAAGTTGAATTATGATGATTTTATCTCGGAAAACTTGATGAATTAGAAACAAAAAACAAGATGTAGAAAGAGGAGAAAAAGCTGCGTCGAATGACACCCGAGTTGCTTGCCGGTTGTTGTTCTGTGTGGTTTAAGTTACCAAATGTGCAATTTGATAGCATTGAAAAATTGATTCCAGAAACTCTAAGAAGCAGGCTAAGGAGAAGGAAATATTATCCTGTATCCTGTAGGGTTTGCTTTATCTAACTGTCACTTGCACATCTTCGGAGAATAGGTACAAAAATTTAGGAAAATAGCCGAACTTGACAATGGCAAAAAGCATGAGTCGTAGATTTTGGTAATTTTTCGAGAGCTCATATAACATTATGCAGCGAAATTAGAACCATCAGAAAGAGGATGAAGTGCTGCATCGATTGCTTCTAAGATCTCTTGAAAACGTTGATTTCACGAATAGTGGCGTTCATTCGAAAAAAACGACATTACTTTCGGAACGACCTAATAGATCAAATTGGGTGACTTCAACTACCTTAAAGTTGGCAAATTTTCTACAAAAAAGTTCATAACTGCCTTCAAATGATTGTTTCGCAGATTTCGAGCAAAGGTTTGGAATCAGCGTTTCGAGGTGCACCTTATGGCATACATCGCATTCCAAATGGCCAGGGTCGGCGAGTACCATTTCCTTATAAGGCATTATACTTGGGTCCGAATCGAATAGAACATTCGAATATAACATTCGAATATATTCGCATTCGAAATTCGATATTCGGGTTTCTTCCATTTTCGAATAATATTCAAAACTCGTATAATTGAGAAAACGGGGTTTCGATTAAAATTCGAAAACTCGATTAATCAAAAAACGGGGTTTCAGATAGATTTTAATCAAATGTTTTATCCGAATGTTTATTCGAATTCCTATTTGAATGAACTCCGTGTTCAGATTATTCGACCTTGTTGCAGAGCCAACTGCTGAATATCAAGCTCACTTCGTCTGCGTTTTTTTCCGCCAAACTCGGTAATGCATCTTTTTGCAACGATGACCTTCGAACTTTTTGGAGAGTCGCATTCCTCCAACTGCCTGCGACAATAAAATAGGTGCGGATTTTATGTGTTTGATGCTTCTTCGATCAATGAGCTAGTTCGCCCTGCTATTGGCATCAAATCAGCAAAAAAAAGCTATCAAATTCAAGCTCATATTCCGAATTCGTGTACTGAAAAGTGTGTTGACATGCCTGTTTCTCTTCCTTTGCATTTCTCATGCTTTTGGTACGCAAAGGAACACACTGATACGCACTTTTACTTCTAAAAGTCACCTGCCTTTATTCTTTACCTTAAAGATTTTTCGCGAATTGGTGTATTTTGAGCAAAGGACACCGCGGCTGTAGTGGAGGATTAGATGGTTGCTGAAATTTGCATTTATATCGCCTTTGCAATAAAGTTCTGTTCAATAGATAGTAAAGGATAGTCTTGTTATCACAGTGCATTCAAGATTTCAACGAAGGTTAGCAGCACTATAACACCGGAGCTATCAGCCTACCAACTATAGTAAGGCTAAAGGCGGACGAAGAAGGTCCACATGGAGAAATTCGAGCTTTGATTACGACATACTTCACGCGATAGTCGTATGCGATTTGCCAGTTACAAGATATCTTCAAATGTAACGCCAGCTTACCACAAATGTATAGCGTGTACAGCTTTTTAAATAGATAAATGCCCTGCATTCTGTACTTTTAGAGCCCGCACGATAAGTTATGGACAATTTGATTATTGCCAAACCACATCGCTGCCGCAGTGCTTGCAGTATGCTCGGGGCTATAAGGGGCATTCGTGCTCGCTTCGCGAAATAAACCACATGCCTTCGTCCACGACTAGCTTATACTACGCAAGACGAAAGTCCCAGATGAACAGGCAATGTATCGTAGAATTTGTAGTATACAAGTACATTGTTACTGCTCCAAAAGATCGCACACTGAGCGCTATGAATCTGAACAGCTCGTTACTCAGATAATCGCCGGGGGCAGGCGGTCCGCAAACTCGCGCTTTTCTGCAGGCGGTCAGCAGAATTTTGGGGCGTGGCCAAACCTTCAGCGGGCGGTACTTCCGCGTTCTGCCGGCGGGCAGCAATACAGAATTTTCTGCCAGCGCTCGTCAAATAATATCTTCCAGCGAGCGCTGGCCAAACTTTCAGCAAGCGCTCGGACTCTTTTTAGGTATTTTCGGGCGTACGTCGAGCACAGGTAAGACTCTGTGTGGTAGAGGTGTCACCGTTGGTTTAATTACTCAAGTTTGAGGTACTTTCTCTCAGCGGAAAGTACCTGGGGGTTGCGCGGTCCTCCACAAAGGACCGTGCGGCCCTCAAAAATTTTGCATATTCTCGCGGAAAGTCCGCGAGAATGCGGCCACTGCGCCGCAGCTAATCCATAAAGAAACCGCGATTGTTCTTTAAGCATTCGTCTTTAATTTTGCCAACTTTCTTCCAAATTTCTGCAAGCGGGCCGCAAAAAATCAACGAACTATTTTTCCGGTGCGCGCTTGCTCAAAATTCGCATGGCCGCGTGCCCCCGGCGGTTATCTGAGTAGGTGCTCACACCAACTCAGATAATCGCCGGGGGCAAGCGGCCATGCGATTTATGGGCGGGCGGGCACCGGAAAAATAATTCGCTGATTTCTTGCGGTCCGCTTGCAGATATTTGGAAGAATTTTAGCGAAATTTTGGACAAATGCTTGGAGAATAATCGCGGTTTCCTTATAGATTAGCTGCGGCGCAGTGGCCGCATTCTCGCGGACTTTCCGCGAAAATATGCAAAATTTTTGGGGTCCGCACGATCCTTTGTGGAAGACCGCGCAGCCCCCAGGTACTTTCCGCTGAGAGAAAGTACCTCAAACTTGAGTAATTAAACCAACGGTGACACCTCTGCCACGCAGACTTTTACCTGTGCTCGGCGTATGCCCGAAACTGCTTGAAAACCGTCCGAGCGCCAGCTTAAAATTTGACCAGCGCTCGCTGAAGAAAATTATTTGCCGAGCGCTTGCAGAAAATGCTGTATTGCTGCCCGCTGGCAGAATATGCGACCGTAAAGGAATTGCCGCCCGCTGAAGGCTTGGCCACGCCCCAAAATTCTTCTGACCGCCTGCAGAAAAGCCCGAGTTTGCGGACCGCCTGCCCCCGGCGATTATCTGAGAAGTTGAAAGGTTTCTCATTTTTAGATTTCTGCTCCAGCCAATTTCATTTGCTGTTACTCTGCTAAACTGTCTTTGAAATGTAGTAGACCCTTGACAATGAGGTCTGCTGTCGAACAAAGCCATAGGATCAAGGTGCACAAATGCGGTTCTTGCCTGTACGGTGCATGTCTCATCCTGTCTGATGCGCCATCTCACTTTTTCTTTTTTCTTCTTTCCAGCTTGGCCCTGGAGTACACGAAAAGATTTTGTAAAAAAACAAAATCGTGGAGGACTTAAAACCTGAGATCATATAGCTTAGAGAAATGACAAGAAGAAGATAGAGAAGAATGGTATATTTCTTATGACAAGTGCATTGACTTGTTTATGTGGATATGACTGACATAAACACATGTTTCATACACCTCAAACTTGCGTCAATGGGGAAGTTTTTATTCATCTCGTATGACTTAACACTTCCGTTGACCCTCAATCGTCTTCGAAAGATCCCATTTGACTTCCCAGTATTTCTCCACCACTCCAGGACCCTTGCCAGTGGTTACGTACTTGATTGGGATGTATATGCAGAACTTAGACCATCTCTAAACAGTATTCGTGTTATCGTACAAGTGTGGTACTTCAAAAATCTAAGTAGTTATTAGCAAGGAGAAAATAAACTGTACTCCATGCTCGACCATCTTTGAATCTTAGCATTTTATGTTCAATATATATATTAGTTCTCAATAAGTCAATAAGCGTATCCAAAATTGTTATCCGTTCATCAATGCAACGACATCAGTAAACAGGTCGACGTTTCGGCAGGGTCGCCTTTTTCAAGACCGAAAGTGAGCCAGTAAATTCGACGCTCCAAGGGTAGACATGCCTTCAGCGATATACTATACTTCAAGCGGCTGTCCACCACTCTGACACTTACTCAGGCCACCATATGCTAACTCTTGTGATGGAATGAGGTTGCCTTCAAAGGTCAGACTCAAATCCACACCATGATAAGAATGGGGCGAGTTCACTACTGATAGCTATTTGCTCCTCTTTTCTGTTTCGTTTAGGACATTTGGACCTGATCCAACAAGCCTTTATGGTTTTTCGTGCTGCAATGTTGGTTTCTTTTGAAAGGATATTGATGTTGATTTGAAACTCTATGTTCTGATGGCACAGTACACGATGAGCGCCCAGAGTGGACACTCGCGATTTTCTCGTTCCGTCCAAATGTTCATTAATTTGTGCACACAGCGGTCTTCCTCTTTCTCCAATGTATTCTTCCCCGCACAGTTTACAAGATATCAAGTAAAAAAAACTGTGTGGAGAAGAATACATTGGAGAAACAGGAAGACCGCTGTGTGCACGAATTAATGAACATGTGGACGGAATGAGAAAATCGCGAGTGTCCACTCTGGGCGCTCATCGTGTACTGTGCCATCAGAACATAGAGTTTCAAATCAACATCAATATCCTTTCAAAAGAAACCAACATTGCAGCACGAAAAACCATAAAGGCTTGTTGGATCAGGTTCAAATGTCCTAAACGAAACAGAAAAGAGGAGCAAATAGCTATCAGTAGTGAACTCGCCCCATTCTTATCATGGTGTGGATTTGAGTCTGACCTTTGAAGGCAACCTCATTCCATCACAAGAGTTAGCATATGGTGGCCTGAGTAAGTGTCAGAATGGTGGACAGCCGCTTGAAGTATATCGCTGAAGGTATGTCTACCACTGAGTCGTCGAATTTACTGACTCACTTTTCAGGTTTTGAAAAAGGTGACCCTGCCGAAACGTCGACCTGTTAACTGATGTCGTTGTATTGATAAACGGATAACAATTTTGGATACGCTTACTGACTTACTGAAGACGGTAATCCTTCCCGCAGATTGCACGAATGTTTGACTTTGAGGTAAGGCTCTATTTTGGACCACTCCTCAAAAGTGCCTTTGATAAAAAATGATCCGTCTGGCCAAGGTTGGACCCAGCCGACTTCAGCCCATCTATCATCAACTAAAATGAAGTTTGAATTTTGCTCAACTTCGCACTTCTGACTCACGAATTTCTTGTTCGTAGAGTTTTATTGCCACTTTTTCTGTCGGTTTACGGTTACAAAAAATTTTTCCTCTTACTCCAACTGACTGTATACCGTATCCTTGAAACAGATCCCAGCAGTAGCATGATGGGAGAAGGTACAAGAATATCAGTACTTGCATCTGCATTTACGCCTTTTATTTTTCGTATAACAAGCAATGGTTCAAGCAAATCGACAATTATTCCTCCTAAATCTGTAACTATTCATTAAGAAGTTAACGCGTTGAGTTAACACTAACAGGTTAATGTTTCAACGACTTAGCACTGACTCACAATTTGAGGTTATGATTGCATGATGCTGCACTTTTGTAACATGTTCCTCTTTCCTCATGCATCTTGGGGAAACTAGGTTCAAAAAATCGTGTAAAACATAATATTCGATAAAGTAAAGCTCTTGAGATACCCTTTGAACATTCGCAAGTGGTTTCTACACTTATTAAGCTAAAAAATATTATATCATACCTTTGAAGATTGAATTTTACCACCCTCTAACTTTCCTATACCTATACTCTCAGCATAAGAGTTTAATAGAAACAGATCGTATTTTTCTCGTAGCTAAAATCAAGAATGTGAATCGAAATACTGTAAGCAAAACAATGCTGGCTTGTGCCCACATGACTAATTCTGTTTTTGCAAGCATAATTGGAAATTCTCAGTTTTTTACAAGCGTTGCTTTTCAAAAATAAATAAAATGTGACGTAAAAACCGAACGGGAGACATTTTGGTATTCACTACCATATTTTCTTTCTTATTCTCAGGGCTCGGCACGAGGTGGCTTACAAGCAAGCCGGATATCGTTTTTGTGACCGAAGAGACACGGAAAATTGGCGACGGCGACCTTTTTTTTTAGTCGACGTTTCGTTTTTTGGGGGATTTTGGGGAATTTTTCAGGTTTTTAGAGGAAATTTGGTTGAGGGTCAAAGGGGACTTCGTAAAAATTCCCAAAAGTCAAGGGGGACTTCGTTTTTTCCATTTTCATCTAGCCACCTCGTGCCGAGCCCTGCTTATTCTATTTACAAGAAAAATAGAGCGACTGCTCCTGCTAGGCCGGGGATTTGGGCGGAAATTCGATTGTCAAGCCTTTGGAATTTTTTGGACCTTGACTTTAATCTTAACGTAAGTCCTTGCGCGAATGCTCTAACTTTCTCTTGTAGAGCTTGCTTTGCACTAAAGAACAATTTGATCTATGCAAGGGCATCTCTAGTAACAAACATGTTCAGATACTGGAAGACTGAATGAGACTAATACTTTTGTGCATAATCGAGCAAAACACAACAAAACCGTAGAAGAAAAGAAAGCGTACCGGTAAAGAATGCGTTTCAGCGGCTATTTATATAAGCAGATGTGGTATAATCGCAGTATAGTTTGATTTTTGGTGGAAGAAATTGGTAATTGCATCGATGTATTGACGAAATTGTCGTCCCGAAGCATTGCTAAACTATAAAAAAAGCTCCAAGATCAAAGAGATCAAGGCTTCAAAGCATTAATACGACAAGCCAACGACTCAGCAATAAAGTTGACAAAGCATCAATAATTTCATGAAACATTCAGAAAAAGCGCTGAAATTTTAAAAAAGACCAACACAAAGCAGCCGCATAAAGTACAGTACCCTCACTAATTATTCGACAGAAAACGCAAAAACTGACGATTCGCGTTTTTTGCGTTTTTTCTTCATAACTTCCTTCAAATTGCATAAAATACAAATCCGAAGAAAGCATGATGCTCAGCTAGTCAAGATGAATCTTCTGATATACTGCAATCTCGTACTATTCTGTTTTCAATCTGCTCGATTTTTGTGTGAGGACGGGTATTCGTAGTGGTGTAACTCAGCGAAGAACACACATGGACGATTCATGTAAACATGGTTCAGCAGTGCTGTCCCCGTAGATTATTATGTGCTAGTGAGTAGCGAAGGATTCCCTTTCTATTGGGAAAGATAGGCCGTTTAATTTTGAAAAAATCGATGTCTCTCAAATTTTCGCTACCGTAACCATACAGTAAGACGCTAATTTGCAAAGCAGGTGTGTTTTTCGTGATCAGCAGGTTAGATAACCTCTATGCGCAACTCTTCCAAGGAATTCGGACTGCAGCATAAGTTCTTTTGGCAGAGTTATGCTGAGAGGAATGCTGCGATACTACGCAAGTTCCTAAGTTTGTCTGCCCTTTGCGCGTGTCTGTTGGACAACTTACCTGCTCCTTTTTGTAACTTGAAATCATTAGAGGCAGCGCTCTTAGAGCATGCTTAAACTGGGCCCTTATCTGTATTAATCACCGAACTGTGAGCTGACGAACTCACGTCCTCATAAAAATCGTTCGAAATTTTAAGATCGCATTTTTTGGCCAAATATCGCCGCGAATGGTTACAGATGACTCTGATTGTAGATATTATGTTTATATACACATGTAAATTGATAATTTATGCCGCATACTGCTGCTTAACCCTTGTGCCAACTTTTACAGCTGTAACTCAAAGTTTGCAAAAAATCGATAAGCCGATATCGACCGATGACGAAATGTAATCTATCAGACCAGCTCGGCTCCTAAGGCTGGGTTCATACTGATTCCCATGTTCCGGATGTTCCCGCACAGTCCCGCAATGTTCCCGCACTGTGCTGGGAACTGTGCGGGAACTGCAACTGTGCTGCATGCGCTGCAGCGCCCCGCACTCGTTTTGAACGGCGGGAGTTGGAGAATTTTGACCGTTTTCAACGGTTTTTCTTCCAGATTTCTCTCATTTTGACCTTATTCCTTTACCCCGCTCCTTTTTTTTTGATCAGCAGAACTTCGAGCTCGAAGCGGGGTTGAAGAATGAGCACTTTTCTGTTCTGCGTATGTGACAAAATGTGTGTTCTTGCGCTCGTGCATTTTCTCTTCGCTTTATTTTTACACAGACTTATTCCATTTGTTCCAGGAAACCCCTGCGTAGTTTCCATAGCCATCTGCTATGAATCAGGGAGCAATTCTGAAGTTGCATGAATTGAGATTATTTTGTTTTGATGAGTTTCGTTTTTTGGCATTCTCCGCCCCTTTCCCTTTTCCATATCGTTGCTACTCCTTTCTTTCTTCTATCCCGCTTCTCCCTGTGATGAGAAAAGCTGTGAACTTGAAGCGGAGTTGAGGATTGAACGAGGTTCTCATCATGTATCCGGGAAGATGAACCTTCTTGCGCTCGTCCATCTTCTCTACCATTTTTGTGCAGGCCCACTTCATGTGTTTTGGAGACCTGTCCATGACCCTTTCAATACAGATGCGAGACTACGCAGCGTTTTCTAGAACACATGAAGCAGGCCTGGGCAAAAATGGAAGAAAATGGACAAGCGCAAAAAGAGCAATTTTCCCGGATATGGAACAGAACAAGGTTATTTCTTTAACTCGCTTTAATTTCACACCTTTTCTCATCACAAGGAAAGGGCTGAGAATAGCCAAAAAGGAAACTCATCAGAAAACAAGAGAAAAGTCCCAATTTGTGCAACTTCAGAATTGCTCCTGCTCCCTAATTCATGGCGAAAAGCGCTCATTCTTCAACCCCGCTTCGAGCTCGAAGTTCTGCTGATCAAAAAAAGGAGCGGGGTAGAGGAATAAGGCCAAAATGAGAGAAATTTGGAAGAAAAACCGTTGAAAACGGTCAAAATTCTCCAACTCCCGCCTTTCAAAACGAGTGCGGGGCGCTGCAGCGCATGCAGCACAGTTGCAGTTCCCGCACAGTTCCCAGCACAGTGCGCTAACATTGCGGGACTGTGCGGGAACATCCGGAACATGGGAATCAGTATGAACCCAGCCTTAGGAGCCGAGCTGGTCTGATAGATTACATTTCGTCATCGGTCGATTTCGGCTTATCGATTTTTTGCAAACTTTGAGTTACAGCTGTAAGAGTTGGCACAAGGGTTAAGCAGCAGTATGCGGCATAAATTATCAATTTACATGTGTATATAAACATAATATCTACAATCAGAGTCATCTGTAACCATTCGCGGCGATATTTGGCCAAAATATGCGATCTTAAAATTTCGAACGATTTTTATGAGGACGTGAGTTCGTCAGCTCACAGTTCGGTGATTAATACAGATAAGGGCCCAGTTTAAGCATGCTCTAAGAGCACTGCCTCTAATGATTTCAAGTTACAAAAAGGAGCAGGTAAGTTGTCCAACAGACACGCGCAAAGGGCAGACAAACTTAGGAACTTGCGTAATATCGCAGCATTCCTCTCAGCATAACTCTGCCAAAAGAACTTATGCTGCACAGAGGACACTACTTCTGTAATCAGCGGGTCGTAAAACCTCTATGGGCGAAGTTTCCGGTCAATCCAAGATCATCAATATTTTAGCCAAAACCCGTCCGGCGAGCTTCACAGCCCAGAACGAGAAAAAAATGAAAGGTTCCGAATTCCTTGGAAAACTTGCGCATGGAGGTTATCTAACCTGCTGATCACGAAAAACACACCTGCTTTGCAAATTAGCGTCTTACTGTATGGTTACGGTAGCGAAAATTTGAGAGACATCGATTTTTTCAAAATTAAACGGCCTATCTTTCCCAATAGAAAGGGAATCCTTCGCTACTCACTAGCACATAATAATCTACGGGGACAGCACTGCTGAACCATGTTTACATGAATCGTCCATGTGTGTTCTTCGCTGAGTTACACCACTACGAATACCCGTCCTCACACAAAAATCGAGCAGATTGAAAACAGAATAGTACGAGAGTGCAGTATATCAGAAGATTCATCTTACGAGCTAAGCATCACGCTTTCTTCGGATTTGTATTTTATGCAATTTGAAGGAAGTTATGAAGAAAAAACGAAAAAAACGCGGATCGTCAGTTTTTGCGTTTTCTGTTGCATAATTAGTGTGGGTACTGTACAACATTTGACCTTCCCCTCTGAGGCATTTTTACACGACTAATCTCACAAGGGAAATTGCCAAGTCGGTTCTGCCAACTCGGATGAGTCATATATCTTCTTCGTAACGGGCTTGGAACGCTGATTCCAAATCTGCTTTCCTTTTCTGCGGAACAACTCTCCGAAAGAAGTTATAAGCGTTCGAAAATCCAAACTAGCCGAGTCTTAAGTGATATAAAAATGGCGAAAGCTGTACAATAACGCGTGGAAGTAGGGCATCAGTTTTATAACAACAACTATACTGGCTACAAGGACGGAACACAGCCAGCGGAAGTCCGCTAGGTATTCTTTTAGAGCTTTTAGCTAATTTTAAACCACTTCAAACATGACAATTTTAGTTTTTTATTAGCTCATAACTTCTTTCGGAGAGTTGTTCGCAGAAAAGGAAAACAGATTTAGAATTAGCGTTTCGATTCCGTTACGGTGATATATGACTCCCACAATTTAGCCGAGCTGACTTGGGAACTCTTCCTTGTCAGTATTCTCCGCAGAGCCAAGCTTCTGTCAGAGTGAATTAGATTTGAGAAAGTGCTAATGCACTGCGAAAGCAAGAAAACAAGAAATTGCAGTTCTGCTAGCAAAGTCTTAGATAAGAGGTACCAATGGGCATAGTGTAATGCCTCGATATCAACATGCTCTGAGGCCTTCTCATTTTCTGAAGTAAAGCACTTTTTAAACAGAAGACGCGAAAGAGGGAAGCCGCGCGGGCATCTACAACGAACAGGCACTTTCATACATAACATTCAACTAAGCGCGTGTCAGATGGTTGCGAATGGCAGAGCCTAAAGCTGAAACCGAATATTCGCGTTCCAATTAACTATTCCGAAAAATACGACTATTCATTACTCGAATCGAGTATATGAAAGAGACAGTAGTCCAAATATTCTTGCATTCTGCCAATTGGAAAGAATTGCTTATCTGAATAATCGCTTATTGAATGCCATAAAAAAGCACGTAGGATGTCCGAATATTTGAGAGTATAGTTGGAATCGAAAATTACCGTCGAAAAATTTTATTCGAGTATCAATAGTTGAATATTCGAGAAAGTCTTTCCGTGATATCGAATGACTTTTGTCCAAAAGTCATTCGATATCAAGGATTGGCGGAGCATTGGCGACGAGCGCTCATGTTCTCATTGACTCTCTCTACTATGGTATCACAGCGTCGAACGCTCCATCAAAGAAAGCTAAGTAAACTGGTACTGGTACTATTGTGGATTTCACCGTCCCATCTTCCAGTAGTTCTAGTCAATCAACCGGTGCCGTAGGGCGAGGATGAAGGTGAGTTAATTCCTCAACTTTATTCGATCGGAAAAAGTTGGCCAAAACTTCCTGAAGTTGACCTAGCCGAAACTTACTCCCACGCTTTTCTGATGCCAGAGCCCCAAAGGGCTTTTCATCTCAATCACCCAGTTTTGAACAGACTCAACACCAAACAACATCCTAACTTTTGCTTTCTGAAACTTTATGGTTAGATTTAACTTGTGTGCGGAGATATTCTGCGAGAATAAAATTTCTGCTATATCTGCAGTTTGTGAATCAAAATGCCATAGAATACTTTTTCCAAAGGAAACCTTGCAATACACATAACTCGAAGGTTTTTGTATCAAGTTAGAGAGGTTACAGACCCATGAAAGATTGATGAAATCGCAAATGCTTTACTCGACTCTTCTTTCTCTTTTAACAAGCGTTTACATATTTATTCAATATTTAATACTTCACAACCGAACAACTTTGATTTAACTTTTGTAGAATAGTTCATATATGGCCAAATTTCAAGATTTTCTTCTCCGCTAGACTTTGTGTAGACAGAGCGCCTTCACAATAATTTGGCGACTCTCAATGATATGCTGTAATATTTTTACATGGATCGTTCACATAGTTTTTTTTATATGGATCAAATGTGAAAAACTTCTTGAAAATTTTCTGTTTTTACATCTACCACGTGAGAATAAGGCCTGAACGACGTACGGGTTACTGCTTCTATTGAGGCTGGCCAGGGCACTCGAGTATTTCTTGCGACCAGACTCAAAATCAAATAAATAAATAAATAAATAAGATAAAACGTGGCCAAATATTTGGGTCTTCCTGCCATGTTTTTCTTCCCGGAAAAGTCGTTCGGCTAAATATGCGTCCCATCTCCTTTTCTTTCTTCTCCACGAAAACACGAACAAGGATGATTTTTGAGCCTTGAGTCAACGCATGCGCAACTTGCCCATAATTACTGAATAGCCCGGAGGCCTTGGTAAACATGTGGCGGTAGCCGTACGCGGGAAACCGGACACTCGAAACCATCGCATGCGTACAAAAGCCTTCCGTATGACGGTTCCGCACGCGTAATGCGACAGCTCGGCGAGTTCATTGTCGTTCTACTGATCGCGGCAAATGACGCAGCAGCGCCGCGACGCGATAAGCGACAAATTGGTGAGCTCGCATAATTTACTTATGTTTACTTCATTCATTGAAAATGAGAAGATTACTTGGAAGATTTCGTCCCCTTTTCCCTCCAGTAAAATTTCATGGAAATGAGATATCCAAGGAAATAATTAGAAAAAATTAACCTGTAGACGTTGACCTTGTTTCTAACCAATATTCTTCTCTAAAACCGCAGCAGACATTATATATTTCTGCTCTTGCATTTGTAATATTTGCTTATCACGCAAAACCTATCATTATTCTTACACTTTTAAATCTTGCTCAAACCGGGCTGCAACCATTTTCCTTTTTGAGCTTTCCTATCATTCTCGAAATTTTCCCTCTCATCCAGCTTTTCACTTCAGGGATCTTTAGAAAAAAAATGCGAGCTTATTTTTACTGTATGTGTGTTGAGTTGGCTGAGAAATAATTTCATTTGCCTTGTGACTCGTAGGATTGTTGCAGACAATTTTTATTAAAATTTGATACCCCTGCAAACAGCATTTTGATAAAAATAAGAAGATACACTTTGTTTGAGTAGCTTTTTTTTCATGAAGAAGAGGCGAAAAGAAGTGAATTACGACTTCCCCATTGGCGGAAACTTTGAAAAAATTTTGTATTTTTGATCCAGAAAACACAAAACATCTGACCACAATTCCTATTATTGTTCGTTAAAGAGAGGTTATGTGTATGTAACCAACTAGATATCAAATTACTCATCTGTACACCCACCATGGCATGAAAGCGAAACTCAGAGAATTCAGCTTCAAAAATCTTTCATTTTGTGGCAAAGCTATTTTTTATTGCTTATCGAAAATTTTGAATAGTTCTTAGAGTTTTTTTGTAATAGTGGAATAGTATTCTGTGATTGTAGAAGCTTAGATCCACCGCCTTGCAAAAATCTATTCCTAAGTAACAAGCTAAAGTTTTCGGATTAACGTATGAATTGAAATTGATTTTATAGTTAGCTTAATATTTTCAAAATAATTGAAAAATTAATAACCAAAATGGAAACTCTCGGATGGCCCAATTCCGTAGAGAAAATCTGAGTTTAATTCTCATTTCAAAGTTTGCATAAATTCCACAATAAATGCTACTGCTTTTGAAACCCTTGTTGGATTGCTTATTTGATAAATCATCGTATACATAAACCACGAAGAAATCCACTTTGTTGCCGAAATTTATCTATCTTGGAGGGCTGCAGTATATTAGCAAAAAAAGAATTCGCTTATGTATTCCTCAACAAAATTCCTGTTTCAGTACCGCTCTACGCTGCTTGTGACCAAGTCTACTCATCATGTGCACCTCCAGCTGTCTGTATGAGCGGTCAGTTGTCTTTGCTTCTCAAGTTGCCGAAGTGTCGGAAGACCAGCACGTTGATCTCACACCTTGTTCACCGGGCAATATTTGTGTGTTTTCGACAATGTTTGCTCAGTGTTTCTCACTTCCGCCGTCGAGGACGAGTTTCCTCCGCGGCGGCCGCGGCGGCAGTGTTGTATCTTCGGAACGTCAACGCCAATGATGACATATCCGGTGTTGCACTTGGTTCCTAATATTTGCTTACTGAGGCATAGACAATGGGAATTTTATGCCTTGCATGGGGTGAAGGAAAAACTGAAAAAAAAAGAAAATATGCCTTACTTTCTAATTTCAGCTATTTCAGGGCAATGCCAATGTGCACAACCGTATGTAGCAATGCAATCCGCTTGCGCTTCACCATATCAAAGGTATGTACCCTTTGATTCAACTGGCTCGGCTGGAAGGCGGTGCTTCGTGACCTAATTAAGGCTAGGTAATGATTAGAGAGCACTCGCGCGAGAGAGACGCAGATGCGTTGCGGGCGCGAGCGGCCTTAATTAGGTCACTAAGCCCGCCTTCCCGAAGCCAAGCGAGTTGAATCAAAGGTTTACGATTTTTACTGCGGGATTGATGGGGAGCAGGAGGTGTTCGGGATGAAAAAAAAATTTTGTTATAGTCTGCTGTCACCGGTGCTGTCCGCTCCTGTACCCGTAGCTTATTATCAGTCTCAGCAGGTAGGTCTATCCTATTTTTTGCTGAAGATGCATTTATACTACAGTTTTGATTAATGACGCTTTGCTGAAGTGGTACATAAGTAGCCTGCTAAACATCCGTGCTCTTTGGATTACTTTCTAGTCTAGAAAGAAGCGAGACATCTGCATTGACTGTATTTTGTTAATATCGTCATTAGAAAGAGAGGATGGATTAGCAAAAAAAATCGCCACAACCCCACCCCTTTTGTATGCTCCGCCCACTGAGGAAAATGCCTCTCGCTGACGGTTCCTGACATGGCAGTATAATCAAAAAGCCTACTTTATAGCCAGGGTCTAGCTTGGGTTGTGGCACGCCACACCTGGGGGTCGTACTGAGGAGTCAAAAGGAGAGGGAGTCGTAATTGGGTAATCTGATAACAGCGATAACATGATATTCGTATCATATCCATAATTAGCATGTCAATTAACCCCCGTAGACAAAGTCTGAGCGAGTTCTGAAGATTCAAGATACTAGGCTACCTAAGTGAAATGGTCGAATTCCAACATGGTTAACTTTGTTTCAAAGGTGAATGAGCTATTCGTTTTTGCACTCAAGACAAAGCACTACTCCTTCTTTATCCATCTCAGAAATCCCGCTTCAAAAGACCTCCAAACTGTAGAATTAGAAGCCAACCAAAAGCTCCTTTTTCCCATTTTCTGCTTCTGATGGCTGTGCTTTCACCAAATATTACTCAGAGCTAAGAAGACGAATCAGGCTTAAAACATTCTGAATCTACGAGGTTTAGGCTATCGATTCATATAAATACGGTTTGCTAATAATGTTTTTTGATATAGTTAATGGGGTGTGGCACACCCCCTTAAAAGCTGTAGCAGCCACAGCTTTTAAGGGGGTGTGCCACACCCCATTAACTACGTCATAAAAACATTTTTAGCAAACCGTATTTTTATGGATCGATAGCCTAGATTTCCCAGATTTCACAGGAGTGATTTGAGCCTGATTCGTTTTCTTCGCTCTGAGTAATAGTTGGTGAAAGCACAGCCATCAAAAGCGGAAAATGGGAAAAACGTGCTTTCGAATAATTTCTAATTTCACAGTTTGGAGGTCTTTTGAAGCGAGATTTCTGAAATGGACAAAGGAGTAGTGCTTTGTCTTGAGTGCAAGAACGGATAGTTAATTCACCTTTGAAACAAAGTTAATCATAACAACTTGTTTTGTGGTTTTTAATATGAAAAAGAATTTGATAAATACTAATTAGGAACGCAAGAAATTCAATTCCTTTTTGCTCATTTTCTACACTATCCGGTTTCGGGGCTTAGAACTATACCGGTAGTGCGGCTTCCTTGGTGCCCCTCGTCAGTAGGTTCCCAAGGAAGCTTCAAAATTATCAAATGAAAATCTAAGATAAGATCTAAAACAGAAAATGGCGTATAAAGAACTTGAGTAAAGAAGATGTTGGAAAATGACCATATCACTTAGGTAGCCTAAGTGATATGGTCATTATTATTAGTATCTTGAATCTTCAAAATTCGCTCAAACTTTGTCTACGGGGGTTAATTGACGTGCTCGTTATGGATATGTTGCCCATTATGTTTGACAGGGCCTTCAGTAATGCTATCTTAGGTACAATTTGGAGGGGGGGGGTCTTATTAAGACAGCGGTCGGGAGAGGGGGTCGTAACCAGTGATCGTATGCCACACCCCTTGCTTGCCCCTGTTTATAACTTTGCCATACCATACGATAGAACTAGCACTAGCAGGGGTTCCACAATGGGAGATTTTCGGGTTGTCTTGGATTTTGCACCTCAAGTCCGAAATTGAGGGGTTAGTATGAACCAAGATTGATGAAAACATGGATGGAAAATTGGTGGGACTGCAATGACGTCCTTCTCGAATTGCCAAAAACCATTTTTTTTTTCAGAATACCCTAGCGATATTTTTTCTAATCATTCTTCATTCAAGAGGTTTATCCGCTTAACAGCAGCACGAGCGAGGAGTGAAAATTTGTAAATATATGTAGTTCATCTTACTTTTTAGGCACTGCTACACTATCCAGCACATCAATTGCAAGGTCTGACATTTTTCATTCGCATGATTTTTTTTCTCGCAAAATGGTAAAAAAAATTTCAGCTGCTCCCCATCCACAACTGCCGCCTGTGTACCAAGCACCTCCAGTAAGTGCTCACAAATTCCTATTCTAAGCAATGTTTTTTGATCAGAAGCTGGAAAATTGCCAATTTATAATCAATACCATTATTTACAGTATAGCACTTCCGCTCAATATGTACGCCTGCGGGGCCAAGATTGGGCGATCAAATCTGCGCGTGAAAAAAATGGCTGCGTCTGCAATGCCGGCCATTTGAGCGCGCAAGGCGCCCGACGTGGCTGTTTGTTCACGCGCGCATTTTGTCGTCCAATCTTTGCAACGCAAGAACTCTACTAGGCGAAAATCTACTATACCGTATCTTCCGGAGAAGCTCCTGTAAAATGTATGACGCATTATGAAAAAATTGAATTTTTATTTTAGCCTGCAGCTCCACCTCCACAACAACTCGTCCCGCAACCCCTACCTATACAGCAAGTATCTCACCCTGCATACCCATACCCACCACCTCCACAGGAAGTACCCGGACCTCATCCTGGACAACCAATTCCTCCTCCTGAAGAACAAGGGCCACATCCTCTTCCTCTACCTCAGGAAGGTCAACCTCTGCCACCTTACCTACAGCCCCCGCCGATGCCACCGACATTTCAACCAGGTAAATGTTCTTTTCGGTATCGATAAGGTGTGAGGAGGAGTGAAGAAAAAAGGGGAAAGACGGAGGGGGGTGTATTTTTATGCAGAATGACATAGCCCATATGGCTTGAAGAACCACCCTACCCTAATCGGTTGAGGTCCGCACGCAAAGGTTACGCGTTGCGGATGCGTAAAGGGGATTCCATATTGACATAAACTATAGTTCTTTTAATCTTTCTATGTTCTCTTTCCCAAAAATAACTCTAGTTTCCCCTTTTTCAGTTACCCCGCGTGTGGACCAATCGGTCACAGACGTAGCGACATCACCTACTACAAGCAATACAAGGTTATGCTTCGTGAGAAACAATTTTCAAAACAAATAAGAATTTTTAGGCTATTTGACGGGCCACAAATCGCCTATCCAGGTGATTTTTGTCAAGTACCACAGACGGTTTGCGTAGGAGGAAGCATTTGTGACGAGGCGAGTCTTTCTAGTAAAAGTTTTTATTTGAATTTTATCAAAATTTTTGAGACGAAATATTTTAGAATGTCTGTATATGTCGACGAGGTGAAGAGCCAGTAAATGGGCAATGCGAGAGAGTTGAGGTTAGTGAGAATTGTTACAGTATTATATAAGAGAGGGGGTGAGCCAGTCCCCCCCCCCCTCCTTTAATATAATTTTACACTGAGCCGAGTTGAAATATCATTGAACTAGATGGCATACCCGGCTCCGCCCGGCCCTGTCAATAATATATTTGTAATCAGCATGCTCGATTACCCCCCTGTGCTAACTCCCAGCCCTGTAGCTCAAATTTTGCAAAAAAATTGATAAAATCGATATCGGTCGATGACGAAGAGTAGCCTATGACACCCGCCGGGGCTCGAAGTGTACGTGTGCCAAGTTTGGTCCGGATCGGTTCAGAAATGGAATTTTCTATTCGGAGCATACGTACAGACAGACATACATACATACAGACAGACAAACAGACATTCAGCTTTATATATAAGATTTAGAGCAGTACCCCGGGTAAAAAAGAACATTTGAAAAGAACATTACAACTATGCAGAAAGTTGCCTTTCGTAGATTATGCTACTCAAAAAATTGCGACTTCAAAAAAGCTTTGACTAATTATTTTTACTCATAAATATAGGTGATTCATCGACGCAAAGATTGCGGACGTATTGGCGTCTCTTTGACCATACGCTTTTTCGTTTCCTTACCGTCTGATGTCTCTCCCAAACACGAGTTATCTTGGTCGGACGCAACGGCACCCAGTCTTTGCGTGTTATGACTCCGCTTTTTAAATAAATGTTTCCATGACAGATTTAAAACAACAATACTCACAGGAATGAGAAAAATTTCACACATACAAAATTTTTCCAGATTCCACTGATGACTGAGACACCTGGAGCTCCCGCCACTCTCACTCCAATCTCTAGCACTACTCCGCTCCCACAGTCAAGCTCAACCAGTCCCACAACGACAACTACTACATCATCAACTACTATACCGCTACCGTCGTCTTCTGTATTTACGGACACTACAAGAATGGCGAGTACTGTTGTGGCGCATGTCTCGCATGAAAGACCAATTTTTCTGATTTTTCAATGATTTTTAGGTGACTACCGTACCCACAAGCACGCCATCGCAGCAGATTGCGAGCACACCAGTTATGGGCAGAGAAGATATACCGCTGTAAGTTTTTGGGCTATAACCCGAGCCTTAAAGGCAGCGTTCCCTCAAAATGATGGGTACCGGGATTTTACAATAATAGACCCTCCAACTACTCTGTGGAGTTTGGAGCGATAAAGCGCTTTGAAAACCCCAAAATCCGCTTCGGAAGTCTTACGGACGCCGCCCATTTCCAGACTCCGCCCACTTTTTACACGTGATATGGGGCGAATGCGACAGAGCTTTGAAAAGAGCTCATTTTCGCCGTTTTCAAGCGCTGAAAATCAGATATCGCTTCAGCATGGCGAGAAGGCTCCGAAGAGGTGAAAAACCGGACGAAATTTTGCCGGGACACTGCCTATGAGGCGACCTCCAAAGTGGCGAGTGAGCCGGAGCTGTGCCAGCGCCGTGCCAGAGCCTGCATGCGCGCGTCCCACACTCATTGATAATCGACGCGCATGGCGGTGTTAACATGTACTGGAACGGAACGGCGCTGGCACTTCTCTGGCACAGACAACCCCAGACGCAGGTTGAAACATCCATTATAATCTTTTCTCTCTCCCCCCCCCCCCCTCTCTCTCCCCAAACTATCACCGTGACTTTAAAAATTTATTCGATTTTTTTTTCAGCCAAGCGAATCCATACCCGAACCGCTGTGTAAATTGTTGTCGAAATGGTGCCAAAAATTGCCGAAATGTAATCCGCATTGATCTTTCGGTATGTTCAGATGATTGAATCAGTAAAATTTCCCAAAATGAATTTTTAGTATCCGCAACAAAGCAGAAGATCAGGCTGTCCTAACTGTCCTCGATGAGCAAAGTGTCGCACGAGATGACGACGGCAAATCATCCTACACAAGTGACTTATTTGTATATATGGCATGTATATTATATAGAATATAAGAATAAAGGACTGATCAATGTGTTGCCTTTCTCTTTAATTTCAATAAAAACTTTATTTACTTGAAGAAAAACAAAAAATGAAAGTCAAAAACTCTCATCTTTAATTTATTTATGAAGAACAAAGCTTTCTAATTAATTAAATGCAGGTTCCATTTGGAAGTAGGACTTGACTTATTCACCTAAATGCATTTAGCAAACTGTGACATTTGACTTGAAACGTGAATATCTGGAGGAAAAAATCCTTTTTGATTATCATTTGAAAAACTGACAGTGAGGTTATGAAAGAGGAACATATTGGCTTGGCTATCGACGTGCTTGTCAGTTCCTTGTTTAATTCGCTGCAAAATGCACGAAAAAAGGAAGAAGAAGTAGTGCGAACAATTCGAGAATTTCGATAAAATATCATTCTTTTCCAACCCTCTTTAAATGGCAGGTGCTATGATGTGTTATTGACAGAAGCTGCCCGCATATTTTCACTGAAAAGGATGTACCATAAGTTTTGCTACACTCGAAGGAAAATCTTCACTAATTTCTCTGAAGAAAGTTCTCATTCTCATATTACGCGGAGGTTTCTAGTTTTCGATACCTACATGTCTCGTAGAAACTTAGGAAACTTTCCCAAAATACTGTGGTAAATTTGGAACTTTCGTTATTGAAAAGTTCGAACATCTGGACTATCCAGGTACCAGCTAAGGTCAAAATGACGCCGATGGGCAGCCCTGTACCAGGGCCCGGCAGGAGGTGGCATTTCAGAATTTTGAAAACGATATCCCCTTTGAAGCCAAAATTTCCTACGACTTCCCCTTTGACCCTATTTTTGACCGCCGTAAGTCCCTGATAAACAGATATACACAAATATTAAGATGGGCGGCCTCAGCGCTTATTATAGTAGTACTACCTGGCATTCCTGGTCCAGCCCGGGTCATCGTTTGAGGGATGGCCAAAAACCACACTTTGTCCTTCTACCTTCCCGTCCTTTTGAGCCATATTCTCTCGACCGCATGGACTGGCTGTAACTGCGACGCATGCGCCAGCTGTGAAACTCGTCCCACTACAAATCGCAACTGTACACAAAGTGCTCTGGCAACGTTTTAGCCACACTAGCTGCCGCAGACACTGCCAGTCCCTGCAGTTGATAATACAGAATACCTCCAAAAACAGCATTGAGTATAGCCTATATCTTCCGAAAAATTAGTGGCTCCATTATGACAGTGCGAAAGTGATCCGATTAATCAAGCGGATTTCTCTCACCCCTGCAACATACACGAGAATCAACCCTAAGCTATAGGCGACAAGAATGCTACAGAAGCGTAAGGCGCTCAAGCCAAAGGCATCGTGCTCAGCTTAGACGCTTCCATTAGCTAAAGACAAACAAAAACAAAACAAAGTGTAGATGGAAACCAAGAAAAGGCGGTTGGTAGGAGTTCCAACGGCTCGCACAGCTGTTCTAAATAAGGGGAAGGCAGTTAGATCTTACTCAGCCTATGGAACACTACTGAGCCAAGAAAGCGTAATAGAAATTTAAAACTATCCGCATCCCAATGAAGTGAAATAAGTATACTATGGATACGATGTAGATCAAAACTTACCTTTCAAAACTCTGAATCCATCCGCGGATGCATTAGCTCACTGAAAGTTTCCCGCCTGAGAGTTAGTAGATTTGCAATGCCTCGCTCTCTATACAACGCTCATCAGTCAAAAGCAAGTCAGGAAAAACGAGCAAATTTTCGAGGAGATTAACTAACAAGGAGCTTACACATTTTCATGAAGTGCAGTCCTTCACTACTTTTACCTCCTTTCCATTTGTGCTCGTACATGCATTTCCGACGCACTGTATGGGTGTGTGCTGATATATCGGGCGTGAACTGAAATAAAGAACATTCAGAATAATAGTAGCCCCTTGAACGGTTTTGCAGAAGTAAGCTATCAATACGATTAAGAAAAAACCAGGTATCACAATGAAGGATTCATAACGAAACAATTTTGCGCACGAAAGGATGTAAAAAAGAAACAATAAGCAACGACACAAACAACTGATAAGCGACAAACAGCGACAAAAATGCATCAATATAAAATGTGACCTCTACGCATTCTTGTACTTCGCGGTGGTGATGAGTGTTGCGATTAGAGCGCGCTATCCAAGTCGTTGCATACCACTACGAAAAACATTTAGGGCTCCAACAGAAGGGTGCCTTGACGGTTTGGGAAGCGGATTTATACAAGTGATAAGACTTTTGACTTAGACCCCATTTATGTGAAGAAATTTGGAAAATTATGTGAGGGGAAGCTGAGAGCCACCCCAGGTGGCTCCCAGGTGGCGCGGGAGCCACCTAAATTGGAAAAACACTTACCATTCCTTGAGTTCACATAAGTTTTTCATATTTTTTCATACATTGTCTTTACTCCTTACTACCTAATTACAGGCCGAATTTGGTGCCATTTCGTTTCCTGTGCGTGACAAACAAGCTTATTTTGTTGTTTTCCTTATGCGATAATTCCCATTTGAATTCCCGCGCGCTAGCAGATAAAACTTGAAGCGCGAACTTGTTCTGCTGGCTGCAGTGCGAGTTCAAAAAGTATTCCTAAAGTAGTTCCTCAAATTCAGTAGAGCCTCAAAATCTCAAGTGAATTTCCTACTTGGTGCGTATGGTTTATATGACGTGCTGTCACTATCGTGTCTTTTTGCATATAAGGCTTTTTCGTGACTTGACTTACCTTTACGTATGAGATCAAAAACCTAGCTTTGGCTGAAATTTGGCTTGCAGGGATTGTTTGTCATGTTGTTTTTCATGCTCGTTATGGCTCCCAAACCACAGTTTTCGCTAGGAGCAGGTGCAGGGGACTGCTTGATTTGCTGATTTATATAGCACCCAATCTATATGGCAGGGTCATTGGGAAGTTATGGTACTGCATGATGTATCTCTTGCAGATTTGCCTGCAACTTTGTGCAAATAGGTTGTCAGAAGGTGGAAAAATGCTCATCTTTATGTTTCATTTGCATGATCATCAATAGCCTCGAAAAGGGCTTGGAATATCGTAGGTCATTCAACACGATAAAGAAACCAATTGTGCTAATTTTTAGCTAAATTTGAGACCTAGACCTGGTAGACCTACGTAACTTTACAATGTGTTGTGACCGTGATTAAAATGTCGAATACCAGATTTTAGCTAGATCCACTTCTCTGCCCTAGATTTTGGCCAGATCTGTGAATGTGGTCTCCAACAGCACATCCACCGTAACTTCCGGAAAGGCCCGCGAGTATGTGATAATTGTAATCGGAGAGCCGAACAACCTAGAGCTTGAACAAATTTCATGATCTTAGGACTGTAAAATCCATAAAATTTAAGGGTACCCCTACTAGGATTTAGCAGAAACTTTCACAGCATTTCTCGATTCACTTTCCTACATACAAATTGTGTCAGCGCAGGAGAGTATTCGTCAAACAGCACTGAACAAGGTGACTTCAGCGTACTATGCTATAGATTTTCTAGTCTTTATCTGAAAATTGTACCGCGAGGTAATGGTACACAAGCTCACAAGTTTTCAACACAAATTAGACCATATGAAACATTTTTGCAAAAAACATGCACATTTTTAGCGCATGAAAATATTCCACGTGCACACCTTCTATAAATATTTACGCATGTCAAATTTTTTCCGGGGCTTCGCCCTGGACCCCAAATTACGACTTCCCCTTTGCTTTTCCGAGCCAAATACGATATCCAGCCTGTGAAAGCGCCACCGCCGCCGGGCCCTGCCCTGTACCTTTCAAAACTGTAAGATCTATGTCACGTGTCACGACCTGATAGTTTAAAAGTTCGAGATCTTTTCCAGTCTTGGCTGTTATGTTAGATATACGACTGAAATATTTTAGGATTGTGTCTAAAGATGCAGTCATCCGTGGGATCGAATTAATTCTTATTATGCCAATTAAGAATGAAATATTAAATTTTCGTGTTTCGATTTATGTATTTGATACCGACCATGAATCGCCAAAGCAACGTTATTAATTCGAGCTCTAGCTAAAACAAGATAAGATCGAGGCTGTTACAACCATTTATTTCGTGGTTATCGGCAAAACCTATGCTCTTTAAAGAAAACAATGAAGATACATGTATGACAAAAGAATTATTGTAACGTCTGACATTAATTTATTTGGAAGCCCACACCCTCAGTTAAGTTTTGTCTAAACAATTCATTTCTGCCTTTGCTAACAAATTTTGAATTTATTCGAAGAACGCGCAAAGCTTCCGCTTCCAGAAGAAAAAAGCGCTGCTAATGTCGTGCATATCTAATGTGGTAGAATTCGTAAGCGGACCCAAACAATTCGTGTGCCCCGTCCAATGTTCGCTCTTCATAAAGCCCCGAACCCGCCCGTGACACCCCGGACCACGCGTCAGTGCAAACAATCGTCGCCTTCAGACTTCACACCAGCTAATTGCCGGTAATTTGCAGATTACCAAGGCGGTTTCGCCAACACAGCTCCGTTACTCCTCATTACCCCCCAAAAACGCCCTCTGTCACACATCATAAACGGGACCGATTCGGGGAATAAATGCCCCGGCAACATTCCCACACACGCCATTCGAGATTCGTCCCTGGCACTTCTGGTCGTGTCTGAGAATTTGTCTCAACGGACATTTTCCCACTGTTTCCTTTTTCTGCACCAGTTGTTCATGTGTAAATCGTGCGAAAATCTATTTTTGCTTAGCACGGATTCGAACTTGTTTGTATTTCATAATTTAACATTGTAAGTAATTCTCTAGGGTTATGAAATATCCAAGCTTACAAAAGAATGACCAATTATGTCATATGCAATTGCACCCAAATTTCTGAAAATGTTTGTCATTCCATATTCACTGATTGCATTTGATATGACAAAGTTGAAGAGCTTCTGCTTTCTAGCAAAAATCATGTACGATCAGGCATTTTTTTTATCTCGGCCGCCAAGAAAGCTACTAGGTCCAATGGCTTCAAATTTTAATTTTCATTTAGAATACAAAATCCAATATTTATTTTGCTGTTCACAACGAAAATGCAGATTGAAACATCAAACATTTTTGAAAACTTCTATAATTTTTGGTGCAAACACATTATGATGGAATTTTGATTATTATTTCTAAACGTTCAATTTTGTTAAAGACTTCTGCATTATAGCGACAATTTGTTATCCCTCTCTCTTCGATTTTTACAAAGACAATTGGAAGATACAAATTTTTTAAATTTCAATTTTCATTGTTCTTGCATGTATTTTACAGCGTATTTTCTTATTTTCTTCGAAGCCTCAGTCTTAACATTGCAGTAAACTTTATTCAAAATCTCGCATTGAAATATTGACCTCACTGAAGTTGTAACATCTGAAGTCTTCCCAGTAGGATTTTGCTGTTCACTGTGATTCGGAGGATATATTTTAACATATTTTGTTTGTCAAAGCTTGAACAATGAAGGGGATTCAAATCGTACAGCTCCTGGGGACTGACTATTGAAGAGTGAAATGGATGCCTAAATCAAACTTTTCGATTTTAATTTGAACTGTCAAAAATAGTTTGCATTTTCAAAAACTTCGTCTGCTTCAATTAGTAGAATACTCGAGATTCTCTGCTGATAGCAGAAAAAATAGTAAATTTTAACTTCTTACGGCCTGTCCATTTTCTACTGATACACTTGTAGGCTTGCTATAGTACCTAATTCTAAGAAAGAAATCCAAAACAAACCAGCAAACTGAAAAGATTACCGAAAAAGAAAAATAAAGGAAAAAAACAGATATAACAGTACAACTCTCTCCCCATTCTTCACTGTGAGAGCAGTAGGTGACACTATGAATGAATTGCAAAGACAGTCGAGTTGCTGGAATTGTGAATAAATCTAAGCAAATTTCTTCTCTTCTTTTTTGTATCCTCTCCCTTCACCACTGATCGCTTTTCGAGCATTTTACACTGCGTTTGACAAAATACTTCTCCTGAAGTAACCTTTTTCGTTTTCAGAAACACTTATCATGGAATTAGAGCCTTCCAACTCCTCGATTTCGTGGTCCGATTATTCGATAACAGAAGACGATGCTTATGTTTACTGTCGTGTCGGTGCTGGTGGAACGCAAAGCGAGAATAGAGAAGACACGATTTGGAGGGACCAATCGCCCCAACCAACTTTTGAAGACTGGGTTAGGGCAAGTCGTGACAGCGGATTTGCTGAGAAAATGCTCAGCAATGAACACACCTACTCGGATGCGGAACGAAATGACGATGACGAAGAAGACGAGGACCATGACTACTACAACTTGCTATTCCGTAAGACTGAGACGGAGCATGACTATACATATCCAGCATTCAATCAGAAGGAGAATGAGGAAAAAACGGAAGACGAAAAGATGGCGCAGTTGAAGGCGAAAGCGGCGAGAAGATTCCAAGCGAAGTTCCGTCGTGATGACAGTCGTCTCAGTGTGATTTCTGCTAGAACTGTGATCAATGGAGGTTTGTCGGAAAGTTCGGCATTTTCCTAGATAACACGATTTTTGAGTTACAGTAATAGCCTGTTCTACACTTTTGATCACCAGATTTTTGTGTAGAAAGTTTTATGATAGTGTTACACATGCTGGTAATGCGGAAAAGATGATTCTAAACAACAACTGCGCATAAAAAACTCAATTTTTTCGCTAATACAATAACCTGAAGACTTAATCAATTATATCAGAATTGCAAAAGTACTTTTGGAAAAATCAACTGGCAAGCGATCATCGAATCTTATATGAAGAAAGTGATGTGTTCAAAGATGGAGTTGAATATTAGGTTGGAACATATGTTTCGCACCTAAATTCACGGAAATAATCTTCCAATTTGATTAATTTGGAGCTAGAAGGTTTTTCAAGAGAGGAAATCTTGCATTTTGTAATATTCAAAGCAAAGATCATTGTCTGCATCTCGCTAACAACTTAAAAAAACACGCAAGTTTCATTTTCGTCAAACTTCGTTCGTAAAATGCTGAAAGATCCAATGGAATTCTAATTATGGTGATGAATAAGAATTAAGAAATTTGATAATGTACTAAACGGAAGTGAACATAATTCTCTTTCAGCTCGTCCCTATCGTCCAGCAACACGAACCCCTTCGACAATTGAACGTTCATCCGTCGTCAGACCGATCTACAAGAACAGATTGGGCAAGAAAATGTGCTGCGTCGAATGTCGTGATGAAGAACTCGAGCAGCTGAATTTGCCAAAAACACACACATACGAAAATGTACTGGGTGTCTCGAGAGAAAACGACACAATCGAGCTATACGGTAGGATTTTTGCAAATTTAATTTAATTGAAAGGAACAGAGTTATTTTAGGAAGACTGTTAATGACTGCGATGTTGGAGTTACGCACAGCTCCGGGAGGAATGCAACGAACTGCAGCTTTGCAGAGAAAGATTGAGAAAATTTTGCGATTACACACAACGATCGACTTGACCAAGACTAGCGACGATTTTGAGACGGCCATAAAACAATTTGGTAAGCATTTGATTCCCTTGGTAAGCTCGCATGGAGGCGGGTTTAGCACCTTCATGCGCGAATCCCAATGGCTTTGGGAAAATGGCTATTTGAGTACAATTAGGGTGAAACAATGTGCGAAACAAGGTTAATTACATGGGAATCCGGCTAATTGATGACATCTTGGGTTGGAGCATAATTTCTACAACGCTTTCTTCATGTTTGGGAAAAGTCTAGAAAAAGAAAATTTGGCAAAACCTTTATTCAACATATTATGATTAAAAATCATTTTCTTCTTTACTTTTCCCCTACTCTTCTCTTTCTCAATGGGTTGGTCCATTAGTTTTACACCGAAATACAGTTCAATCGAAATTATTTATATATCTTCTGTGACATTATTTAGTGTCTTAGTTTACCATGCTTATTAGAGATTTTTTAGGTAACATAATCCAAGGTCAACTAAAAATCTCAGAAATCAGAACTATGTAGGTACATCCAATCAGCACGAACGCTTCGAAGTCAAAAAGATTAACTTGCAAACAAGCTTGAGTAAAAAGACTGGGACTTTCCGCTAGGGATAGGGTTTTGAGAAAATACGATTTGACCATTTTTAATCAAATTGTACCTTCGTGATATGCCAATATAGGTTTTTGCGGTGTAAATTCTCTAAAAATATGCATAACATTTTATTTCCAAATCATATGAAACCACAGAATATGTCGTAGTCAAAAGAAATTACAAATTATAGAAATTGTGGTGCACGACTTATGGACCAACCTATAACATTATTGCTAGGCGAAGACATCCCCGTTTGAGTCTAAAAAAAGGCCAGAAACCCGCCAAAATATGCAAGAATTGCAAAAAAATCGTCAAAAGGTACTCTCATCAAAAAGAATATCCCTCATCGAAAAAATCACATCCTTCTCCGTCCGTAATTCTGGCAAGGATAGTAGTAGGTGCAAGCTACCTCGTCGCGCGCAGAGATGAGTGCCACTGCGGACGCTGCCTGCGTCACTCAAATTGAAGGCATTGCCCAAGTCAACGAGAGCATGGCTCCTGACTAACGCAGCAGTTCAAGTCTGATCGAAAAATGTGAAGTATGAAACAAGAAAATTACTTCGGAAAAAAGGGGGCGGTACTTTAATCCCACCTCCTTGACAAGTTTTGACGTGGCCAATTCAGTAGTTATAGAACATCCGTCGCGTCCAAACTTGTCAATGGGGTGGGATTTTGGAGTACCGCCCCTTTTTTCCGAAGCAATTTTCTCGCTTCAAATTCCACCTTTTTCGATCGGACTTGAACTGTTGCATTAGTCAGGACCCGTACTCCCGCACTGCGTTAAAATCCCACCACTCTCCAGTACCTGGACAGTGCCTTCAAACGCACTCCTACTTCTATGACTGTCTGCTAGCTCTACCCAAAAAACTCTCCATTCGTATGCAATGCGTTCAGTCTCTGCGTTTATTGATTCGCTTATATTTCCCATTACAGAACATCTGGTCGAACGTCGTCTTCGTGCTATCAACGACATTTCGCCGTCTTGCTATCAGAAAATCGCCGACAAACTTTGCGCGACGCAGAGCGCAGCCCGACGGCAGAAAACAATGTCCGTTCGATTGGCTGCCATTCGAAAAGGCATACAGAAAGTATTTAGAATCTGAATACAATGTGTTTCAAGTCTTAAACGTCAGTGACACAAATCCGGTGTAGGCCTTAAGTAGATTATAAGCTATGTTATACTGCACTCGCACAATTATTGCTTGCTTTTTTGTTATTTGCTTGCAAGCACTGTTATTTTTATTTTTGGTAATTGTTGTTGTTCATGTATTGATTATCTATAAATAATTAGACTTACATGCGTAATATGACATTTTCCGCTGAAGTACGAAAATTGAAGATGCAGTCGGGATGGAACGAACATTGAGTAGAAGGAAAAGTAATTAGGTCGTTTAGAAAGTAATGGCACATTACATCCTAAAAAAGAAAAAACAGAAAAAACAACGGCAGAAAAAACACGAAAACTGATTGTAGTACCATTTGATAGAGCAAAGCAAGCTCTACAAGAGCGAGTACTAAAATCCGCGACTTTGTTCCACCTGAAATTTGTAGCTAAAAAAATTCTAAATAGAAAAAATCGTATACCATTTACAAAATTTTAGGGATCTTCAAATTGCACAGGCAATACTCTCCACTTGGGCATCACATTTACAGTTTGTGAAATTTCCCCATGAGTAATACGAGAAAAGAAATTAGTTTTGAAACCACGTGTGTTCTTAAGGCCTATAATCAAATGAATCAGAAAAATGACAGACAAATGCTCTAAGCAGTGTTCGAAGCAGATAATCATCATCTTTTTAGTACCGATGCTTTTGTTCCAGAACCTTCGATGCTCATTCGCACAATTGTCAGAATCCCCAGCCAACCCATGGTTTTCACTTGCTCTAATTCTAGCTGTTTCTCCAAATTTTCAGTTCAGTGTTTTGGAATAGCTTTGATCACTGGATAGATTGAAAAAAGTGCAACACAGCTCAGCTTTTGGCATTTATAGCTGACTTTTCAGCATCTCATATAATGATTGTTTCGAACTAGTGGCGTTCTCAGTATCTTCGTTCCAGCTGAACTGATTTCTAAAAAATTTATAATGATATATAAAGAATCGTTAACTCGATTCAAAAATCAGCAAATAGCAGGAAACCGAGGTCGGGTACCCAAGCGAACGCTCTTCCAAATATAATAGCACCTTTAGATTACTGATTCACTAGTTTGAAGAAATATCAATTATTTAGAAGTATGAAAAAATCATTTGCACATTTTTGAGACTCAAGTACCTAACAATAAGTAAGCTCCGACAATTTGGCAAGGCGTTCTATAGGCGAACGTCTTCATTGTTGCGAAATCGTAAACGCAAACGACACTATCTTTACAAGGCAAAAGATCATTAACCACTTCGGAATATCAGCTTTCCAGGTGTAACCCTGGGACGTATTCAAATACAATAATCGTAATGTTTTATCCTCAAACACTGTACGAACCAGAAAGAAAAACGTCTATCAGAAATAGAGGGTGTTTAGAAAGTAAGTGGCCTAAAGTACTTTTAGTTCGAATTTCGACGCGCTTTGTTTTTATTGTGCTCACCAGGCCTAGATACAATTTCAGTGAAACCAGGTCTTCTTGTGTTTTTTTTTTAGCTTTTTTATTGGATTGAAACACATCAGTATAGCTTTCCAAACCACTTTCCTTGAAACGCTTGTTACAAGAAAGGAAACATAATTCACAGAAATTTTGGTATACCTTCTAAAAGCCCGTTCTTTAAGGTTTCTTATATGTGCTTTTATTTTCGCAGAAGTAAGTCTGCTTTGGAATACGGTGCCTTGAAATACAGGTGATCCAGTTTCAGGATTTTTTCGTCAACAAATTCAGCACCGAAATTTTTGTATTTTATCCATTAAAACCTTCACAAGCGTGCAAAAGTGTCGAAAAATTAATACAACAAACCCCAGAGAGCTGCGCTACAAATACATGTTGAACTAAAACTTCCAAAATTTTTCCAACCAAAAAAATTTCAATGCAAGTTGGTGCCGCAATCTTCTGCTGTAATTTAGCTCATGAAAAATTTTTGCGCAAACTGCTGAGGAACTTTTGTTATATAAAGAAAATGTAAACTTAGAACTTTTTGTAGTAAAAAAACGGAAAGCTGTCTCCGTTTTCCGGTGTAAAATTAGAACAACCCAGATAACGCACTCTTCCGCCTTTCAAGGGAGCTGAAATGTTTGCTTCTAAATTTTTCAAGGTATAAAAAGATATATTTCTCTGTTGACCCACTGGTTTCTAGGTTTAGCGAACACATATAGCAAAAAATGAGTTGATATTCGCAGTTGAAGTACTTAAGGACACAAACTTTTCAATCACCCTAGAAGAAAAAGCTGCATCGAATGACATTCTGGTTGCTCGCCGTTTTAGTTCTTCGAGGTTCGGGACGACCAGATATGGAATTTGTTACCTCGGGCAAAGCAAGCTCTACGGGATAAAGCTTCAATATTCGCAACAAATTTGATAGGCTAAATTTGAAAGCCTGAACCGAAAAAATCTATATCCGTCCAAAAAAATAGGCCTAGGGGCCTTCGTGCTAATGCACTCACTATCTGCATAGATACTCATAACCACTGTTTCCTCATTTCTCCATGGTTAGACATCGAGAAAATGTATTTGCATACTTTTTCCAAAGCAACCCTGAGTTTTCCCCAGATATCCTAACCTAAAAACTTTTGGAGGTATGACCATGGATTTTCAGCTTTCTACAAGGGCTAGTTTTTGGAACATATCAAGTTTATAGCAAAAAAAAACGAAAAATGCGACATATGCGCACTGTACCTAACATTATTGAAAATAATTTCTAAAAAGCAAAGACTACACCCTACCCCTCCACCCCTCTATAGAACCAAATTTGCATATATCTCGATGTCTTGAAAACTCAGTTTTCTTGACAGTGAGGAAGCGAAGAAAAGCCTCAATAAGTGGCAACAGGAGCCTAGAAAAATTGGAATACACAATCTGGTTCAGTTACCCAAATGGGGCACCACTTGCCAGGTTCACAGCTTGTAGTGACAGACTGAGAAAGGCAGTGAAGAGATCGGCCATACTATTCCTGTGATATCTGCAGTTCCTGCGATTCCTGTGATTCCTGCGGGTCCCGCAACAATATGTATTGCGAAAAAATGTATACTGAAATTCGCAAAGCGCTCCGTAGTACGGTTTTACATCGGAAGTCGAGGAATCACAGGAATTGCAGGAATTACAGAATTCGCAAGAATCACCTCCTGTAATAGTAAGGCCGGTCCCGAAGAGATGACCATTGTCGGTGATCTGGACAATCTCCCCTTATTTTTTACTCTGTTCTTTTTGACCCCAAAAGGAGTTGAGAAATGTTGCTTTTAAACCATGTGAAACCAGTGAGCTCCGAAATACGCTTTCCCTTCTCATGCTTATGAATGGCTAGGATAGTGCGCAATTATATTTCAGTGTTTTAGAGAAAAAAGCTACATAGCAAGTTTCAAAGGCAACCTGTACCCATCACTTTTGTTTGCGGAGGTTTACCAATATTATTGCAAACGTCATTCCCGGCTGAGTTGTGCACTTACGGACACAGTGCGGGGGCCACGCATTAATTCACCACTTTTTCATGAAAATTTGTCCTTGGAAGTTTTTCTCGCGTACTGAGATTGTTTATAATGCTAGTGACATTATTGCTGCAGTCGCAGAACGTTCTTGCGGATATTCTTCTACAACTGCGTATGATTGGCTATATTCTTTTCAAAGTTATTCATCTCGACAGTTGTGTTATAAATTACTAGCTGGCTTACCCGGCTCCGCCGTATCCGGACCAAACTTGGCACACATACACTTCGGGCCCCGGCGGGTGTCACAGTCCACTTTTTGTTATCGATCGATGTCGATTTTACCGATTTATATCGATTTTTTTGCAGAGTTCACCTACAGGGCTAGGAGTTGGCACAGGAGGGTAATCGAGCATGGGGATTCCGAATACAATATTAGTTTTCAGAATTATCGATTACTTTTTGATTTTATCGATTTTTTGTAAATTTTGACATGCGAGGCTGGGATTTTGCACAGGGGGGTAATCGAGCATGCTGATTACGAACACAATATTAGTTTTCAGGATCGTCCATTACTTTTATCGATTTAATCGATTTTTTGAAAATTTGAGCTAGGGGGCTGGAATTTGGCACAGGGGTGTAATCGAGCATGCTGATCACCCCCCTTGGGAGTGATCAGCATGCTCGATTACCCCCCTGTGCCAACTCCCAGCCCTCTAGCTCAAACTTTGCAAAAAAATCGATAAAATCGATAAAAGTAATCGATAATCCCGAAAACTAATATTGTATTCGGAATCCCCATGCTCGATTACCCCCCTGTGCGAACTCCCAGCCCCGTAGCTCAAACTTTGCAAAAAATCGATAAAATCGATAAAAGTAATCGATAATCCTGAAAACCAATATTGTATTCGGAATCCCCATGCTCGATTACCCCCCTGTGCCAACTCCCAGCCCCGTAGGTGAACTCAGCAAAAAAATCGATAAAAATCGATAAAATCGATATCGATCGATGACGAAAAGTAGCCTATGACACCCGCCGGAGCCCGTAGTGTATGTGTACCAAGTTTGGTCCGGATCGGTTCAGAAATGGAATTTTCTATTCGGAACATACGTACAGACATACAGACAGACAGACAGACAGACAGACATACATACAAACAGACATTCAGCTTTATATATAAGATGTTCAGTTTTTCATTTAAGAGCTCGGATGCTGTTTATTTGTATTAGCCTACTCATTTTGCTTTGATTTTGTTATGAATTTTTGTCATATGAACCTTTTTCCAGCATCGATCTGCATTGTCCGTTTGCAATAATTCACTGCAGCGGGACGGTTAATCCAGAAAATTCTTTGATCGATGGTGAGTTTTCATTTTACAAATTTTTGCTTATCGCAAGTGACTTTACCTGAATAAATATGTGCTTATTATCGGCCAGAAAATGAGTTTTCAGCTGAACTCTATTATGTGAGTTAGAACTTCACTTACGGTTTTATATCTGGAATTTCTGAGAAATGTGCATTTTTCAAGCATAAGAAGATATTTCTGATATTGATATATGCCCTGCTTGATATTTTACCTTCCTTTGGTCATGTCCTGTTTGGTTTAGGCTCTTTTTGGGTTTGGGCAATCAGCTGATATTACCATAAAGTTGGATGACGAAGAGACGCGAAAAGTGAGTTTTGTGTCTTGGGTTTGTAAAATATATGTACAAATTCTGAATCTTTGAAGACTGCGAAAATACGCGGCGAAGATGGGCAACAGGAGACCCATTACTTGTTCTACGATGGCGAAACTATTTCCGGCACTGTAAATGTTGCTCTAAAGAAGGCCAATCAGAAACTTGAGCATCAGGGCATAAGGATTGAATTTATTGGACAGATAGGTAAATTTCCTTGTGCTCTCAGTATTCTACTCCGCGGTATTTACTGCTTCCTTACAGAGGTTTATTACGATCGTGGCAATCAACAGGATTTTATCTCGTTAACAAAAGATTTGGCACGACCCGGCGAACTCACACAGAATTCCTCGTTTCATTTTGAGTTTCATAATGTCGAAAAGCCATATGAATCTTATATGGGTATCAATGTGAAGCTGAGGTAATCCTTCACTACCTCTTGACTGGCAGGAGAAGGAAGAAAACTCTTTCAGATACTTCCTGAGAGTGACCATTGTTCGCCGGATAACGGATATCACAAGAGAGATGGATCTAATCGTTCATACCCTTAGCAGTTACCCGGACGCTGATGTGAATCTGAAGATGGATGTAAGTTTTTCGTTTCTTTTTGCTTTATTATTCACTCATTCTAAAATCCTCCAGGTTGGAATAGAAGACTGTCTGCACATTGAGTTCGAGTATAATAAGAGCAGGTAAGCTACAACGATTTATCTGTCGCTTTATCTTTCAACGGCTGTATTTTCTTGGGAATCACTTTGTTTCGGATCCAACTAGACTCTTGAACTGCCTAAATGATGCTTTTCGAGTCATTATTTATATCCACGCGCTCACAGTTCTCTGTCATTGATTCCAAAGAGAATTAGTGTAGCCGCATCTTTTTCACTGTATGTATGTTGCTTGCGCTAAAAATTCCCTTAGCTAGAATTATATAAGGCTTTGAAATCACTTGCGGTCTGATTATTTTACTCACTGGATGAAACATATTCCGTCATGACGTACGTCGCAGTGTTTCCCCGTTGGAGATGGTGGGGGTAGGAGTTTGATTCTAGACTATTTCGTCAACAACTTATACTTCCATTTTTAGCGTTAAAAAACAAACTGCTTCGTTGTTCACAATTCTGTTTTGCGACGTACCCGTGAATCATCCTTCTTTTTATCGATAGCATTCCCAGCTACCGAAAGCACTGCATGACAAAAAAATAAACAATGTGTGCCGCAGAATGTACCCTTGCACAGAGTGTCTGCAATCCTTCACTTAGAGGGAGGGAGCAGAATTTATACTTTATTCAATTTCACTAGTTTTCAGTGGTTCATGAAATTTGAGTTCTTATGCGTATTGCTTTGCTGGTAATAACTCATACACTAGCGATTACACACTTTCGCTATCCAAATATTTACTGCTTATGTTTATTTGCATATTTTGAACCAACTAAGTTTAAATGTTTTGCAGTGAGCAGGATTAAGCTGCAGTGTTCGGTGTTTTGTTGTCACAAAATTCCTTCCCAATAACTTTTAGCAGATATCCCCGCTGTATCATACCACATTTTAGATATCACCTTCAAGATGTGATCGTGGGCAAAATTTATTTTGTCCTTGTTCGAATCAAAATCAAACACATGGAAATCACAATCATCAAGTCCGAAACAGTTGGATCCGGGCCGAATGCTGCGAAAGAAACAGATCCAGTTGCCAAGTTCGAGATCATGGATGGTGCGCCTGTAAGAGGTGAGATGCCATTTCAAATTGTAATTTATTACTCTTCGAACTATCTGTTGCAGGCGAATCCATTCCAATACGTCTGTTTCTTGCTGGTCACGATCTAGCACCTACAATGCGCGATGTGAGCAAGAAATTTTCCGTCCGATATCTGTTGAACTTGGTCCTAGTTGATGAGGAGGATCGACGGTATTTCAAGCAACAAGTGGGTTCCCGAACGCTTTTCTTTCACTTTTATGTGTTGTTCATGTTTCTTTTTTCAATTATACTTTTATGCTTGTCTATGAGGCAAAATCGAGTGTAGGCTTTGGCTTTGCTTTATTATTTGCTTAGCATCTTAACTGACTAGAGGGATTGCCCATTACAAAACTCCGCTGTGCTGCAAAGATTCAGCAACATTTGGATTTTATGTACGTTGTTTTCATTTTGAGACATGCACTGTCAGGGGCATATCATAGACACGTATCTTTTCGTCTGCAAGGATTTGTACAAAAATAGTGCTGTGATACTTAGCCTCCGACCAGACTTTGCTCAAAAGCGCCCAAAACCGCTCGAATTTCTCCAGAGTCTCTTCTCTTTCACTCGTGGGGAGAGATGAGAGAAAGCGAAGTGAGTTTAGAAAAGAGCTTGGCGCTTTTGAGCGAAGTCTGGTCGAGGCCTTAGAGTTTTTATACATAATAATGAACATTTAATGTCTTCACCAAAGTTTTTCGCCCTTAATTCACATCATAAAAGAGGGAACTAAGTGTTCGGCTCTTTGGTAGTTCAGCTGGGAAGTAGGACGTAGCCTGCTACTCGTCTTAACCTACTTAGATCTCATTTGGTGGAGACTGTTGACTAAAAGCAGTCGTAAATTGTTTTTATCTCCATTTTTGTGTCCATACATTTTTCGAAAGTTGTTCGTTGTAGGAAGTTACGCTGTGGCGCAAGGCTGACAAGCCAGTCAGGAAGATCTTGGAACCTGCAACAGTGGACGCTAGTACTAATGGGTTAGAAGATACTGCCAAGGCGAATGTTGCCGGAGATCATGCGAATGGCCGAGACGTGACTGCAGATGATGAACAGTAAATCGGACACCTTCTTGCATTTATTTGTGTTTCCTTTCAACATTTCATATCGTTTTTCAAACTGAGACCGTGTTCTAACTCACGAAACTTTCAATCACTCGACCATAATTGCGCTAGTTTCTACGGAAAACATGGGTTTATCTTAGCACTTGGAAAAAACTTTGAAACCATTTGTTACCGGTGTTCTTACTCTGTCATGTCTGATTGTAAAGTCACAACTGGTATGAGAATTTTACATATAACTTGATTGTCTCCTTCCCCCTCTCACGAGCCCTGCATGTACAATTAGGGTTGATGTACAGTGCTGTAGAGCGACTTGCTTCCATCATTTTCGAGTTTTTACCTGCAGATTTAAGTCTGTTTTAACTTCTTTCAGATTGTACTTTTCTAATAATTTATTTTGTTCAAAAGTAGCATTATTAACGTTCTGTGATACGTATATTTCTGAATGATAAAAGTATCCTGATTTTGATTTGTTTGACTCATCTTTTGTCAAAACAAGAAATAGGTATTGGCTTCTATGAGGTTGACCATCGCGAGGATAATAGGGGGAGGTTTGATGCAAAGACGTTTAGGTTTATCTAATAAAGCTGGATTCTTGAATTTCGTCAACACGATCTCGTTTTGTGGCGTACAGGGGCGTTTCAAAATGGTAAGTCTTAGATTATTATGATTCAATCTTTTGTACATGATTTTAAGTGCCTTTGACTTCTTTGCCTTTATCGCTTATTTCCTTTATTTTATAGAACACGCACTTTTCAATTCCTCCTTAGTCTCTTGCACTACTTTGGTGGCTTGAATTCCTTACAGATAGTGTCCATATCGCCGAAGTGTAAACCACGACTTGAGATCCGGTCTTACTGTCTGCATTTTACACTTACTTGCACTGTACGTTATACTTGTAACATGTTTCTTTTGTGCAGTCAGCGATACAGTGGGTATGACAACAGTTCTAGTTGAGTTTACACGAACTCTGGCCATGCTTGCATGATTTATTGCCTCTCTCTTACATTATTTTGATTGAAGCTAGAGATGTTTCTAGAAACATGGCGTTTTTACAGCCACGTGTCTTTTGTTTTCGCTACAGCAGATGCAAATGAGTCCGATTGCTTTTTTCCCTGCGGCTTATACCATTGATCGATTTCGATAATTGTCATTGTCATTGTGTGCATCGTGTGTGGTGATCGTACAGATTTTATGCCATTTAGGCTGGTTCTAGTGCTGTACATAGTTTTTTGCATATGCAGATTTATCTTGTTATTTTTGCAATTTTTTCTTCAAAATATTAATTGGTGTCGGAAAGACATCAATGAAAAACGATTGTTATATTGAATATCACACTATGATTTTATGCGCTACCTGCAAATCATCCTGCTCAAACCAACACCCTTTTAGAATGTTGCGTCATTTTGACCTAGTCCTTTCATTTTTGCCGAATCGATCATTCAATTTATTCATCTTTCAGTTGATAGATTTGCTCGGCGATCATTCCCCAGCAAGATCATACGCGGAGCGGGGGGGGGGGGCAAACACGCAGTTTTTGAGCTATCTTGGCATGCGGTAAGCGGCTCTTTTTCTGAACAATCATCTAGTCATGTTCTTGTTCTTCGTTTCTCAGCTTGTCAGTTTTGTATCAGAGTCCTTCAAACTCTTAGTTTATTTTTTCCTCATTTTCCTTCCTCCCCCCTCCCTCTCCATCATGCCGTTTCCTACCCTCTATTGGTTATGCATTGTGGAATGAAAAGCTGTATTCTTCACTTATTCTTCAAAGACTTCACAGACTTTTGATTACATAGAGTTGGGTAAACTTCTGCGCAGCTAGAAATGCATGCTAAAAACTTTGAGATCAGCTTTTATGAGTCATGTTTCTGTGGCAGATGCGCATAAGCTTTATCTTTGCTCTTGCTCTCTTGATCTCCTATGTTCTTTTTGCAATGGCCGACATAAGGCCGACTTTGAAGCACCATTAGCCAAATAGTAGAAAAACACAAGACCATCAGAGAACTAGCTGTGCAACTAGGGCTAGTTCTAGTCCTGTCGTTTCCATACGCACTCCATAAGTTTCTATTCTTACAGTAATCTTGAAGATTTTCATAATAATATGCTGAATGAGATTCTGAGCCAAACATTAGCTTATTGGGTTTAGTTTTTAGCTTATTGGATTTATTCTCTGAACAAGTTCGGTGAAGTTAGTTTTGTTCAAAGTTCAGCATTCCTTCGCCTCTTCATCTTTCCGACTTTTGTTTTTACTTTTTTGCAGTTCTTTCTTCTTTTTGCTCGTTTATTCTTTTCGGTAAGCTTATCTAGGATTTCAACTAGATAGCATCTGTCGATACGAGGCGGTCAGGTCCGTTCTAGTTCTTCAAATCGACAAAGCGCGCGGTGCACTTTGTCGTCACGGGCTGGGGGTTTTGTACTGACGTTAAGTGTATGCAGATGAATCAGTGGTGAGAAGAGTGAGGGGTGCGAGTGTCTCTCGCGGCGAAATGTTTATAGTTCGTAAATGGTCTTATCGCTACGATTTGTATTTGTTTTTGACTATGCTTAGGGCATAGCAGAGGATAATGCGGCGTTTTGATTTTTTATAAAAGGCGAAGTGTGAATGATGGTGGTTACCATGTTGAACTGACCACGTATGCTTTGGTTGGGTTTCTATGGTGATTTGTGCAATTGCACATTATTCAGAATAGGTATCAATGTAGCATAGACATTGTTCTTCTCGTGGATTTTTTTTCGTTCAAGGCATTAATGTGTTATAGTCGCGACTTCCATCTCTTTGTTTTATGCAGACATCCGCATGGCGCCGATTTTAAATATGAATTTCAAAGGCGTTAGCTCTTCAAAAACACTTTTTAGGCTATTTTTCAAAAACCGTGAAGGAGTTCTCTGGCGCTAGTTTTCTCGAAAGCAATTTGAACACAGACATTTCTTATCCAATCGCGCTTGTCGTGCTTAAACGTGTCAATGGTCCAAAGGGGCGGTCGGCACACAAAAGTGGGCGTTCCGCGCACCGGCTTCAAATCTCATGTGGTGCCATCGCCAACTTTTCAAAAAAATGTGCATTTGCACATATCAGCATAGAAACCTATTCGGTTATATTGACAATGGCCAAACCATATAGTTATGCCTATACCGCGGCGAATTTGAATGAGCATTTACGACAACCGGCGTTCCACAACATCACGCCGCCCGCATAGTAATGAAACATGAAGGGCCGCATGCACTAACCTCCCCGCGGGGAGGGGATCGCAGCTTAAAAAAAAGCTTTATATTTCAAAACTCCGGATACCTGGATTTCACGTTGTGTACCTATCCGTAAGTATTCCTACTACCCTTCACTACAGTGCTGGCCAAAACTATAGATCCACTATAAAAAACTGCCGTAGTTCATCTGCTTCCCAACGAATTGATCTGAGATTTGGTACAGTTGTGTGTTCAACAGGCTTTCATCAGTGACCGGAGCGGATTCCGCTTTCGTTAGATTATTCAGGAAAAAAATTAAAAATTTCGAAAAAAGCAGGCTCGAAGGCTGGCCAAAACTATAGATCCACCTAAAATTTCTGTCTGCTAACGTGACTCTTAGCTTCCAAAATCTTTTGTGCATAAACCTAGTCGAAAGTCAAAGCAGTGGGTTTAGTTTAGCTGCGTCATACCTTTATAAGAAACTCTTATCTGCTTTTTTCCACTCAAAAACTGCTCTCATGCGTATTTTGTTCCCGAAAATGTGTTTTTGTAGAGGGTTCCGCACTTTTTTGACTGGTTTGAAAGTGGTAGGGCTCCATCTATCTTATAGATGCTTAGCAGCGTGAGCAGTAGAAAAAAATTCGGGTTTTCGTATCCAAAGCGCACCTGACACAGACATAACCGTAGGCCTGCGCTCGAATTTTTGCCTTCAAAATTGGTATCCGCTATTTTTATAAGCTCAAAATAATGTAGAAGCATTATTTAGCATTATTCACCTAAAAAGAAGTTTGTAAACTATAGTTACAATTGCTTGCGAAGTCGCACTTTAATTCTTTTTCAAAGCATAAGTCTTGCGGTGTGTTCGGCAATCTCAAAGTACTTACCAACTGGTACCTTCTTTGAATTTTGCCACTTTTTAGCTGCTAACTATTGAATACACCCTGCAATATGTGTTGTCTTGTGATTCACATGAGCATTATGGTCAGAAGCAGAAATAACTTCAAGGCTTGTTGCAAATCACTTTTTGCAGGAGGAAGTCCTCAATTAGCTTGCATACTAGGATCTGCAGAAACCTGCAACCACTGCACACGGACTCTCATACATACCAACAATGTAACTACTCCAGTTCACGCTCATGACAACGTTGCAGAAAGAGCATGAAGGCAAAAATTCGAGCGCAGGCCTACGGTTATGTCTGTGTCAGGTGCGCTTTGGATACGAAAACCCGAATTTTTTTCTACTGCTCACGCTGCTAAGCATCTATAAGATAGATGGAGCCCTATCACTTTCAAACCAGTCAAAAAAGTGCGGGATCCTCTACAAAAACACATTTTCGGGAACAAAATACGCATGAGAGCAGTTTTTGAGTGGAAAAAAGCAGATAAGAGTTTCTTATAAAGGTATGACGCAGCTAAACTAAACCCACTGCTTTGACTTTCGACTAGGTTTATGCACAAAAGATTTTGGAAGCTAAGAGTCACGTTAGCAGACAAAAAATTTAGGTGGATCTATAGTTTTGGCCAGCCTTCGAGCCTGCTTTTTTCGAAATTTTTAATTTTTTTCCTGAATAATCTAACGAAAGCGGAATCCGCTCCGGTCACTGATGAATGCCTGTTGAACACACAACTGTACCAAATCTCAGATCAATTCGTTGAGAAGCAGATGAACTACGGCAGTTTTTTATAGTGGATCTATAGTTTTGGCCAGCACTGTATGAACATGTTGAACAGGAGCGAGAAGCTGTACGAACCGCATTTTCCAGCTTTTGTATGATCCCTGATGATCCCCGGCGCTTTTCTTTGAAATCATTTTTCTTTCTCCGATGTTAACGAAAAACCTCCAGAGTTGTGCAGATTATCTAAACCGACAGTGCTAAGCATGTTGCTGATAAGAACAAATGATGTTTTGAAGTCATGAAATTTTCGATGATCCACAGGTCGAAATTTGAGGTTTGCCGGAAAATTCGACTTTTTAAAAACTCATTTGTTCTCATCAGCAACATGCTTAGCACTGTTGTGTCAGATGTTCAGTACGACTTTGGAAGGTTTTCGTTAACTTCGGAGTAAGAAAAATGACTTTAAAGAAAAGCGCCGGGGATCATCAGGGATCATACAAAAGCTGGAAAATGCGGTTCGTACAGCTTCTCGCTCCTGTTCAATGTGTTCATAGTAAAGGGTAGTAGGAATACTTACGGATAGGTACACAACGTGAAATCCAGATATCTGGAGTTTCGAAACATAAAGCTTTTTTTTAAGCTGCGATCCCCTCCCCGCGGGGAGGTTAGTGCATGCGGCCCGAAAGGTCGTTGACCGACCGCCCTACTTTACTCTGTTTACACCCCCCCCCCGTGTATGTTTTCCATTTCTGTGATGTTCCTCCTCGCTTTCCTCAATATGTGACGCTCTCAACCTTCGTCTCCAGCACTTTCAGCCGCCCTCTCACCCCGTCTTAGCAGTGCTAATCCTCGGC